GTTGATAGCCATGGCAACCATGGAGGCAGCGGTGGTCATACCATGGCACTATCAAGGTCTACGACTGTTGCATAGTAATGGGGGTTGGTGCAGGTTGCAAGCATGCCATACCTGTACGATGTGTGTGCTATGCAGTCATGTATTAGGGATGAAACGGTTACAGTCTCCAGGTTATCGGTTGAAATGTTAACGGTTAACCAAGCGGTTACACGTGACCTACCAAGCGGTTACAACCTACAAGGCGTATACCCTGCTTCCATGTTCCATTGTTGTATATCCCGTGACGTCACGCAGTACAACACGCAGTACAACAGACACTTGTCACATCATGTACTTGGTATGCTTGTTATCACTTGCTCACTCACTGCTTCAGAGCTGCTTTAGAATATTTAATTTTTATGCTCCATTGGACTGCTTTTGCAACGCCAACGTTTCACGCACATTGTGCACAGCGCTCACAGTGTAGGCACGCACACACAGCTCCAGAACTTACCTAGTACTAGTAATATGAAGAGTATATATAACCCCCCAGGCTGGGCCAGGGGTTATAATACTCTTGGTATTATGTACGGTGTGCATAGTGATGATTTCCCCATGCCGCCGCTTTATTGTACGTCACGTGGACACTGATTAGCTTAGGTGGTAGTAAATGCTACCGTATACGCGTAACTCGTAGCAACTACATTGAGCAATGGCCTGCACAAATCTTATCCTTCTAGAGCTGCTCTATTTTTTTCAAAATTCTTATACTTATAAGGCTTGCCTCAGAACTCTCCAACTCCACTGCAGCATTTTCTTTCCACTTGCAAACCTGGCACAGGCTCTCAGCTGCACAAAATGAATAAAGAAATACTGCCAATATTTCGAATATTGCCAAAATACTCTTTCCCTCAAACCAGTTAATTCTTTTTTTGTCATCGGTCTCTCCCGCAGCAAATATCTATAGTAGAACAGTAAGTCACAGTGAACTGCCCTCCCCCAGATCCGGTCGCCTTGGGTTGAACTGCCCTCCCCCAGATCCAGTCGCCTTGGGTTGAACTGCCCTCCCCCAGATCCGGTCGCCTTGGGTTGAACTGCCCTCCCCCAGATCCGGTCGCCTTGGGTTGAACTGCCCTCCCCCAGATCCGGTCGCCTTGGGTTGAACTGCCCTCCCCCAGATACGGTCGCCTTGGGACACAAGGGTTATGGTGGAAGTACTTCCTGGTGTTACATGGGTGCAATCCAACGCCACTGAATTGGCAATTTCTGTAACTTGATAGTTCCCGGGCAGCTCCGGTTGCCCAGTGATCCAAGGACTTCAGTACAATGAGGCAGTACAATGAGGCTGCTGGACTTCACGTGTCCAACTGGGTGTACTCAGTAAATCAACTAATTTTCGCTGGTGATTTAGTATCGCTGATTTCGCCACTTGGTGCCAACTGGCTAGAGTAAATCGCATGCCAAAGTTTGTCATAGAGTCAAATGATGCAAGATTGAACCCCAATCGGCCAAAGTTTGATCACGGCCAAAAGTTTCATTTCAAGATCTCCCAAAGTTTCTCACAGGCCAAAATTTGTTGATTTACTCATGAAATTGAGTACTGTTACATGTAGATGTAAAGGTGCGTTTGCTGAAATCCAACCCAGAGTGCATGTTTGGCAGGTGCGTTTGCTGAAATCCAACCCAGAGTGCATGTTTGGCAGGTGCGTTTGCTGAAATCCAACCCAGAGTGCATGTTTGGCAGGTGCGTTTGCTGAAATCCGACCCAGAGTGCATGTTTGGCAGGTGCGTTTGCTGAAATCCGACCCAGAGTGCATGTTTGGCAGGTGCGTTTGCTGAAATCCAACCCAGAGTGCATGTTTGGCAGGTGCGTTTGCTGAAATCCAACCCAGAGTGCATGTTTGGCAGGTGCGTTTGCTGAAATCCAACCCAGAGTGCATGTTTGGCAGGTGCGTTTGCTGAAATCCGACCCAGAGTGCATGTTTGGCGCCCTCAACTAGAACGCCCTTGACGCTCTGGAAGTGATGACATGAATCCAGCTGCACGTACACATGTACAAAAAACCCCACAACTACAATGATGTAATTCGAACGTGTCCAGGGCGCCAGCTTTGCACTTTGGGTCCGATTTCAGTGAGCGCAACTGTAGTATAGTGCATGCCGCGTATGTTCCAGCGTAAATGGAGTGCAAACAATCTTCTTCATGGCTCAGGGCCAGTCAGGCTGCACTACGCTACCATTACAATCATAATCACGTGCTGGCTATGCAGACTCCCTCCCCTATTTCTGATAAGGCCTTGTGTCGTAGGTGTGTCGTATCTGATATGCATGTACATGTACATGTACAATGTCATGTATGTACCTAGTAGTACTGTAGTAGGTGGGTAGGGGGGTAGGGGGGTAGGGGGGTAGGGGGGTAGGGGGGTAGGGGGGTAGGTTAGTAGGTGGGTAGGTGGGTAGGTCTGTTTGTATGGATGGACAGGTCATGACGTCAGTGAGCAGTGTGTTCTGCAGCTGGGTACAAACTTGTGTGTGGGAACATAATTATCTGCTAGGTAACCATGGTAACACAGTCACTGTTGTGGTACTACTCATGCTCAGTTAGCTTATGCTCCCATAACTGTACGGTCGGTGGGTTTGCGACCACGCAAGATCGCTACATTCCGGGCCCAGGTTGATACTGCTAATCACCACACTGCCATGCCTTATACTGGCTGTAGGCTAGGCAAGATTGTACCAGGCTGAGGCTGTAGCTGTGCAGGATCTGCAGTCAGACAGTGATGTGTAGGATCTGCAGTCAGACAGTGATGTGTAGGATCTGCAGTCAGACAGTGATGTGCAGGATCTGCAGTCAGACAGTGATGTGTAGGATCTGCAGTCAGACAGTGATGTGTAGGATCTGCAGTCAGACAGTGATGTGCAGGATCTGCAGTCAGACAGTGATGTGTAGGATCTGCAGTCAGACAGTGATGTGTAGGATCTGCAGTCAAATAGTGATGTGTAGGATCTGCAGTCAGACAGTGATGTGTAGGATCTGCAGTCAGACAGTGATGTGTAGGATCTGCAGTCAGACAGTGATGTGTAGGATCTGCAGTCAGACAGTGATGTGTAGGATCTGCAGTCAGACAGTGATGTGTAGGATCTGCAGTCAGACAGTGATGTGTAGGATCTGCAGTCAGACAGTGATGTGTAGGATCTGCAGTCAGACAGTGATGTGTAGGATCTGCAGTCAGACAGTGATGTGTAGGATGGGTAAGGTGATTTCATTCATCA